AACTGGTTATAATGCATCGGGGATTTTTATTTTGGACATTGCTTTTACAAAAATCAATTAACTTCATATAGGTTGTTCCAGCCACATTGATGGCTTTGTTCTTTGAATTTCATGAACTGAGGATACTACTGGGCTAAGGCACTGGTATCTCACCACCATGGCTTACTCCTAAACAGTGGCTTCACAGCAAGGAGAGAGAACAATAAGCAAATTGTTGAACTCATGGCACTAAGCCATTGCCAGGATCTCTCTCTGCTGGTTTGAAACTCACACACTACACAAAAGTGACTTGTGTTGATCACTGTAATTCAACGGGGATTTGTTACCCCATTGTGTATTTGCCAGGATTTGAAGACAAAAATGTAGGAAGAAATTTTATCATAATTATACCTCAAATTTTTAAACATCTTTTAAAAAATTATTGCTTTTATATAATCTGTGACATTGTTAAAGTAAAAGATGATTAATATTTGTTGAAAGAAAAGAAAGACAATTACAACAGTTCTAATTTTGAGAAATAGATTTCCGTATTCACATATTAGGATTTTCTCCCCAGGGAATATTGGAAATAGATATATTTCACTATGGTGAAGGAAATAGGATTTTGCTCCTTAAGTATTGATTAAATTATGCTGTTGGTATTTGGGTATCTTATTAAACATAAAGTTCAAGAAAGTGCTAGTTTGATAAGAAAGATAATTCATATAAGAAAAGGGTTTGAGAATTTTAAAGATTTAAATATTTTATAAATCTTGTAATATTTCTTTCCCTTAATTTTAGCCACTTATAGGAGACTTAATAAACGTTTAGACTTTACAAAGATTTGCTCTTTCTTTAAATATTCCTTTAAAATAAAATTTCCCAGAAGATTTTTCTTCTCCTAACTCCAGTCTTGAGAAATGTTCCCTAAACAATGAGTTCTCCTTCAAATGAGTTTGGGTGATAATCCACAGTATTTTCTTCTTTAGGCATTTAAAGGCTTGGAGAAGTCCTGTGGCTAAGACGCTATGTAACTGTAACTTCATATTTTCCAGACAGCTTCATAAAATAATTTTTTATTTTTTGGAAAGTACTTTTCCATGAAACATACTTTGAAAAATACTTTTTTGTATTGTAAAAAGTTGTACATATGCATTGTTATATATAAAATATGGAAAATATACACATAAAAGAGAAAAAAGTAGTATTTAGAGAGAACCTCTCCTAAATGTTGGTGTGTTTCTATCCATTTTTTTCCATTTACCAATCATGTATATATGTCATTTTATATTTTTTTTACTTGATATCATAAAGTAAGCATTTTATCATGCAAGGCAGAATTCTTTCCAAGAATTAATTTAATTATTGTATAATGTTTCATCGTATTATTATATTAAAATTAACCATTTCCTCGTTGTATATTTAATAGGTTGTTTCTAATTTTGAACTATTATAAATTATACTGTGGTGAATGAATATCCTTATACATTGTCTTTTTCATATTTCAGATTTTTCCTTCTAATGGATTCCCAGAAGTTATTGTGTCAAAGGACATGAGCTTTCTTCTGGGCTTTTAACAAATAAATACTATTTTCCAAAAGAGCTGTATTAATGTATAGTTCTTCCCCAATACTGGAAGAAAAATACATTTAGAAGTATTCTCACAAGTATTATGTATTAACATTAAGAAAATCTTTATACAGTTGTAAGGAAAAGATGGTATATCTTTATATTTTGTTCCTTGAGAGTTAGTAACAATTGCTTTTTAAAACTAGTATCTTTGTTATTCATCTGTTTTATAGATTTCTTTTGTCATATATTGTAAATTTTCTGAACCACAGTAGTTGTAGTGTCCTAAGAATATGTAATTAAATATAAGATTTTTGTAGTTTACTGATCTTTTAAAGTATAACTAGTATATGTTATAATTTTTTTTGAGATGGAGTTTTGCTCGTGTCGTCCAGGCTGAAGTTCAGTGACACAATCTCGGCTCACTGCAACCTCCACCCCCCGGGTTCAAGTGATTTCTCCTGCCTCAGCCTCCCGAGTAGCTGGGATTACAAGCACCTGCCACTACCACAGTATAATTTTTGTAATTATAGTAGAGACAGGGTTTTACCATGTTGGCCAGGCTTATCTCAAACTTCTGACTTTAGATGATTCACCTGCCTCGGGTTCCCAAAGTGTTGGGATTACAGGTGTGAGCCACCACACCCAGCCTAGTTTTTTTTTTTTTTTTTTTGAAACTGAGTCTTGCTCTGTCACCTGGGCTGGAGTGCAGTGGCACAATCTCAGCTCACTGCAACCTCTGCCTCCCAGGTTCAAACAATTCTCAGTCTGCCTCAGCCTCCTGAGTAGCTGGGATCACAGGTGTGTACCACCATGCTCGGCTAATATTTGTATTTTTAGTAGACACAGGATTTCACCTTGTTGGCCAAGCTGGTCTGGAACTTCTGAAATCATGATTCGCCTGCCTCAGCCTCCCAAAGTGCTGGGATTACAGGCATGAGTCACTGCGCGTGACCCCTAAATTTTATGTACATAATACTGTGTGTTAAAAATGTTTTTCCCAGTGTTTTTAATGTAATATGGATAATTTGATTTCTTCTGTTTACTTCAATAAGCAAATAGCACACTAAAATGAAGAGTATTTAAGCAGTTGGGTTCAAAATTTGTGTGGCCAAAATTGTGAGCTTCTATAAATATTCAAACAGAAGTCAGACAACCCTCTGATTAGCATGTAATAAAGTAAATCTAAGGAACCTTCTTTTTTAAGTTTCACATGATTTTGACTCATTTAGAGGTTAATTAAACCAGAAGAACTGATTTTTATTGCTTCTAATGTCAATTATTTTATCTGACATTTAATTATAAGCCAGTCCATATTTTTCTCTGCAAAAACATGTTTGGGATTTGAATGTGTAATGAACTCAGCCCTGGGAGTGTGAAGGTATATGGCCCCTCTTTTCCATGTTTGCTTGTCTTAGTTCATGTCATTGCACTTCTGAGACTTTATCATAAGGGAATCAGGACAAACATTCAAATTTTAGATTTGATATTTATGTGTGAATTGAAAATCTCAAGTATTATTTTTATAGAGCTTTCAGTTAACAAAGTCTATTAGGACTCATTTTATGTTTTCTCAACAAAATAAAAGGTTAGACTCTAAAATTAATAAAAACTAATAATTCTCATGCTTTTGTTGTTGCTGACACTCTGAATAAGGGCTGTCAGCTGTAAAAAAAACTAATGGGTTTGTTTTTATAGACATGGAATATATGCATTTTATCTAAATTTGGTAGCCTAATGACTGTTAAATATCATGTTCTGTTTTTACAAATTGCTTTTATGTTACAAGAAGCACCCCTTGCACCTGAGGGTCTAGATGAGGAAGAATGCTATCCTTTCTATTGGCAAACTTTCTGTAATGTCTTGGTGGTTTTAATGAGTAGATCCTTTGTGATTGTATCTTATTAAGAAATTTCACTGAAAGGAGGATTCCATTGTTCTTTACTTGAACTTGTTTCCTTTGTTTATTATAATAACCCTACAAGCTAAAAGAGAAATTGTCTATTAAATTATACACATAGAAGGTCATGCAACTGCACAGAGAGTAATCTGTATTGCGGTAACTGAATATTAGCATCCATTGTGACCTCTCATTAGGTTAGCCAATTCTCAGTGTCTGCCATAGCTAACCAAATTAACTGTTTTTGGAAAATTCAGTTGCTGCTAAAATTGTTGGTCAGAGTTCATTATTAGATTACACTCATAGAGACCAGATATCCCATGCTACTGTCTTCTGTTGTAATCTGTTTTCTTTAAAGTAAAATGGTCTCATGGTTTATAGCTTAAAATTATCACTTAGTATTTACCTGCTATGCTTAGTATTTCTTAAATTCTGTGCTTGCTGTGTTACCCTCCAGCTGGTGTGATAAGAGAGAAATCAAATTGCTTCTGGCATATTAAACATAACATATACCTTAACACTAAATAAATAGGCTTTAAAACATTAGAGGCTTTCCCAATCATTTAGTTAATCTCCTTGAATACAACCAGTATATTATTATATTTAACAAATATAGGCCTCAGCTCCATTTTAAACAATTTACCTACACTTCTTTTGAAGTTTCTTCTCTGAAAATTAGGATGACAATAGTTTTTACTTGGATTATGGTTAAGATTATATGAGATAATTGCTCCAAACCAATTATTTTTACTGTTGAGCCCATGCTAACCAAAGGCACAATAATAACATAGTACAAGAAGCATATATTTAAAATAAAAATTAATTTGAATTTGGAAATAATTAAGTTATGTACATGGATTTTTGTCTTTTTTCACTCTTTTTTCCACACTCATTACTGATGACCTGTTACATGCCAGACACTGTGCTGAGATACAGACACAAATGGGACATGGTTATTGCCTTTACTGAAATTATAGCCTAAAAGAAGAACTTACAGTTTATTTTTAGCAAAACATATATATTAACTTGCATAAACACTTAAGAATAGGAATACAAAATAAATATCCATTTATTGACCCAGTTCAACCAGAATATATTCAGCATCTTCACAAGAGACCCGGTATCCTATGGATGTTGTTCATGGATGTTAGGAGACAAGACAGATACTATTGGAGATTGGAGTCAGATTAGATGGTTGAGGAGCCACTCAGAGATCAGAAGGTCATGTTTGTTGGACTTCACCCTTTTAGGTGGGCGATAGCCTTAACTATTAAACATGGGTGCAGTCACAAACAGGATTGATGTTTATCATTCCTCAGATGAATTTGTAGAGAACCAGATACTGCTGTTGAATACTTAGTGTGTAAGAATGTTGAACCTTGCACATTTGATTTACATTAATATATTGGAAGATTGTGAACAATAAAACTATGAATTATAAAACTATAAATTCTAATGATGCAGTGTATTAATGCTTATAATAGCAAAAATTCCATTAAGAAGTCTGCAAGCTTATAAAAATTCATTTTTTTTTCTTTCTTTTCTTCCTCAGAGCATCTGCTACACCCAAGTCTGAGCCAGTTCCTGTTCAAAAGGTGTGTTTCTAAGCCAGCATCCAGGGTATCATTTGATTGTCCCTGCTGAGCTACTGTAATCTCCATTTCTGTCTCAGATCATACTGACATTCATTTAATTCATAGTCTCAGTACAATTTTCCTTGTTCTTTTCCCTAAGAGATGAGGAGGAAAATGGAGATCAGCACATACCATTTGTAATTATACATGTTCTAAAACATTATTTCTAAACCCATATGTTACAATAACTTATGTCAGATTTTTTATATTTCTATTCACTTTTGATGTGCCAATCTTTATCCATATTCATATATTTTCTTAAGAGAATAAATGGTTGCTGAAAATTAATAACACAATAAGTCTTTAATAACATTTTATTAATAAGTGCTTAATTACATTTCAGAATATTCTATTATTGGCAAGTATCCCTTTTCTCTCATATATGTCTTCAAAATATTTCAGACCGTTATTCATATATAACTGGTTTATGCTTCAAAATATTTCAAACCATTATTCATATATATCTGATTTATTCTCTCTCTAATTTTATTTGTGCCCTTTTATTGAACTCATTATACAGGTTGAGCATCCCTAATTAGAAAATCCAAAATGCTCCAAAATCCCAAACTTTCTGAGCACTGCCATGCCCAAATGGCCATTGGAACACTTCGGATTTTGGATTCATAGATTAGGGTTACTCCTGCATTCTACAAAGATTCAAAAATCTGAGAATGTATGAAATCTGAAAGCTTCTGGTCCCAAGCTGTCTAAACAAGGGATACTCAACCTGTATTGATTTGTGTGGGCATTAAGGTACTTATTTTTCTCAGTTAGTTTTCTTCTTTCTATAAGATGAATTGAGGCCACACACAGTGGCTCATGCCTGTAATCCCAGCACTTTGGGAGGCCGAGGCAGGCAGATCATCTGAGGTCAGGAGTTCGAGACCAGCCTGGCCAACATGGTGAAACTCCATCACCATTAAAATACAAAAATTAGCTGGGTATGGTGGCGTGTACCTGTAATTTCAGCTACTCAGGAGGCTGAGGTGTGAGAATCTCTTGAACCTGGGAGGTGGAGGTTGCAATGAGCTGACGCCATACCACTGCACTCCAGCCTTGGTGACAGAGGGAGACTGTCTCAAAAAAAAAAAAAAAAAAAAAAAAAAAAAAAAAAAAAGAATTGAGATTACCTATTTTTTTAATTAAACATAATAGAACCACCATTGTATGATTTTTCAAAAATTTGATTGCTTTTCTTTTGCTCTGGTAGGTGGAGTAGGGATTTATTCTTGATCTGCAGTCTAATGCTCTATTTCTGAGATATCCCCCCTCCTGGGATTTATTCTTGAATGTTGTAGAAGCTTAGTCTGATTTTGTTTAACTTTAAATATGCTTTGGAATAAGGATTTGCAAATACAAATTCTGGTAATTTTAGGAGGAATTGACCTTTCTTACTAGTTATTTTTTCTTTGGCTGCCGACAGTGAGGAAATATTGAAGATCTTTTTTTCTTCATGTAACTATTAAATATTTATTTTGGAAAAGGGAAAGAATTTTATTCTGTCTCTAAATCATATCTTAAAATATTCAGAGAGAAATAGAAGTAGATTACAGGAAAGAAAGGATTTTGTTTTGTTCATTTGCTTGCTTTTTAAAGTTTTTTTTTTAATTATTTAAGATTGTTAGAGTTTGCACATTTCTGAGTTAGTTGAAAATGATCTTATTCCTTATTTTTTTGTTGTTGTTCTTGTTTTAAATTAAAGAATTAGAAATCATGTGCTGCTCCTTCTGCATGAAACAAATAATTCTACTCTGGAGAGAAATTAAACATGTTTGAAAAATAGAACTATGGGCTTTGAAAGATGGAAAGATGGGCTTTAGATAGTTGAAAATAGAAAAAAAAGACCTCAATAAAGTTAATTTTTAAATACCCTACAATAAACAGAACATTGTTAATAAAAGTTAGCAATGTTTTGTTTATTGTAGGGTATTTAAAATTTTTTTCTTTAGAATATGCCTAAGTTGACACTGATAAAGGGCTTTAGGCTTTTTGATAGTTTTCTTGCTTTATTTCCTAAATATTCTGAAACTACTTTCCTTTTTATTTAAAAAAATTATGCTTAGTGAAAGCATCTGTGTTATGCATGTTGGGACAAGTTAGCATGCATGTTATGCTTTATCAGCCCATCGTTTTTACCTGGAAGTGTGTTGTTTGAGCTGCTAACCTGATTGTGTTTGTCTCAAAAAATCAGCTTTGTGTTCTTTTCAGTGAAATATATTTTGCATGTGTTTGGTGTGTTTTTGTGTATTTTTATTTTTATTTTACATAGGGAGAACCTAAAGAAGTAGTTAAACCTGTGCCCATTACATCTCCTGCTGTGTCCAAAATCACTTCCACAACCAACATGGCCTACAATAAGGCACCACGGCCTTTTGGTTCTGTGTCTTCACCAAAAGTCACATCCATCCCATCACCATCGTCTGCCTTCACCCCAGCCCATTCGACCACTTCATCACATGCTTCCCCTCCACCCATGGCTGCTGCCGTCACTCCTCCCCCGTTCGCTGCATCTGGACTGCATGCTAATGCCAATCTTAGTGCTGACCAGTCTCCATCTGCACTGAGTGCTGGTAAAACTGCAGTTAATGTCCCACGGCAGCCCACAGTCACCAGCGTGTGTTCCGAGACTTCTCAGGAGCTAGCAGAGGGACAGAGAAGAGGATCCCAGGGTGACAGTAAACAACAAAATGGGTAGGTGGCTAAGGGTGCTTTCTGCTCTTACCAAAACTCTTCTTTCAGGTAATTTCCAGGAAACAGACTATATTCCTCTCCCCTCAAACCAGCTTATCTTTGAAGGAAGGGAGATGAAGTATTATTTGCTTCATTAACATATGGCCTTTGTATACATAGGGCACTTTGTACAAAGCAATGATCACTTACTCAGAACGTACTTGTGCATTTTGACATGTTCTGAACCATGTAATATCTCTGTAACTTGTTTTCTGCAAGTCCTGACACAGCATTGAGCAGCTGGCACTTATAATGCAAGGCAAATCTTGAATCTTTCTTCCTCAATTTTTCATCCTTTTATTGGCCACCAGAAGTTCAAACGTTGATTACAGTTGTTGTCACCTTATGCAGCTCATCATAAGGAGAGGGGAAATGAAGAATTTGAAAGTAGTTTTTTTTCTAGGAAGTAGCCTTAAGAAAACCAGTCCACTTTTGGCTCAGTGTCTATATATGACGCATTAACTTTGAGCAGAGAGCTAACAACATTTCTTTCAGATAAGTTTAAGTTAGAATTTATTATTTAAAATCAAACAGTAGTGAAACAACAAGGCATGCTTAGAAAGCATCACTGGCAAATTATAAAATATTTTCATTGTAAAGATTTTTCTAAAATGGGTAAGTTTAAACCATTGGACACTAAACATTTAATGTTAGGAGAACATTTAAAAAATCTGTTCCTTATCTTTCTCCCCTTTTGGGGGTATGTTTTTTTTTTAAAAAATGATTGACGTTATTAACTTATTTAAACCACACATAGTTATAAGTTTGCACATCTATTTTTCAGCAACCTTCAATTATTGATGGTCATTTTATTCCTTTTGGAATTCAGGGACAATACTTTAAGGCAGTCATTTATGTAAAATTACCTTGATCAGATTTATTGTGACAAAAATGTACCTTAAAAGGAAAACAAAGGGAAATAATCTGCACGCCTGATGGTTTTCACCAATGTCAGTTCCCAGGAAAGTATAATTAAAATAATTGTGTGGATAGGTCCGTTCTATGAGATAATCCCTTCCTAATGTTAATTCCTGTAATGAAGAGGCTGTGCTTTCTGTAGCACTGCTGCCATGGCAACTTTGGGGCTTTGAAAGAGAAGGTGGCAAAACTCCAGGCTGCTGCTGAGAGGGAGAGCAGGAGTTCTGGAAGAATAGCTCCTGGGCAGAGAGAGAGACAGAGGAGAGAGAGAGAGAGAGAGAGAGAGAGAGAGAGAGAGAGAGAGAGAGAAAGAGAGAGAGAGAGAGAGAAAACCAGTATCCTTTGAAGAAGATGTTATTTTTTCTTTTGTGTGAGGAAGTGAAGCAGTATGGAATGTTCAGGAGTGTTTGGGTGTTAACTTTTTTTTTTTGGTATGTTTGTTTTAAGACAATAGCTTTTCGAGTAATCAGAGTAGATACCTTGCAAAGAAAAATGCTGCCTGTCAAATACAAGCCACACAGAAGACTAAAACAGAAGTTTACTATGTTTATTAAATTCCAGGTTCAGTAGAAAAATATCCATTGAAGGACATGTCTTAACTAAAATCTCTTCTACTAGCACTTACTGAAATCTCATAAAAAAGTCTTCTTAAAATGGAAATTTGTAGAGGTAAAGGCAAACTGAGGTTATGGAAAAGTATTGCATTTAAAACATCTGAAAATACCAAGCTTAAGTTTTGTGCTTTATAAGCACAAATTTGGTGATAAAACTTGAAATGATTTAAAGCTTACTATTTTAAAACTGAAACTAGGCAGTGTTATAGAGCCTTTATGATGGCTTCTTAATCAGTTGACAGTGTTTATTAAGCATATGCCTGCTGTCCAGCAGTGTGCAAAATTCAGGAGAAAAGAGATTATTACATATTTTACATCATTATCAGGCAAGTAACTGCATTGCACTTGCAAATTGGGTGTATACAAAAATAGCTTGATTTCAAATGTTGTCCAGATGTTAGGACAGTAAAAACTTGATTACTCTAAAAATAAAGTATATTGTTGTGAAACTCTGAGACACATTGGCAGTGCCCTTTCTCTCGCTATGTTTACATTATAGGAAAAAAAATAAATTACACGCTTTACTAGTCAGTGACGTGTCATTTTGAAGAGTAGGTGTTTTGTGCTATTAATGGATGCATTTTTTGCATGAGCTGTCAAACTTCTTTAGGAATGAGTGTCAAACTTGTTAGTATTATATTTTCCAGACTTTTATAATGTTGCAAAAATATCTGCAACAAAACTCTTTTAAAGTTGAGAGTTGTTACTTTATATTTATATTAGTTACTTTTTAATTTTAAAAATAATACATGTCAATGACCAAAAATTTAAGAGTTCAGAAGGATGTAAAGTTAAATGCTTAACTTGTCTTTTTTCTCAAAGCACCAGGAGGACTATTAGTTTTTAATGATTTAAGGTAGCTGACTAGTTTGATATTTTACACAAATTTGTATAGGACTGATAAACATAAGGCGTAAACAGATGCGAAGCATCATTGCTAAGAAATAATTAGCTATTCATCCTAATAGCATGAAATCTGTACATATTGTTGATATTTTTAGAATATTTTAAAATAATAGTGTCAGCATTTCTGTTCCTTCTTATGAGTAAGGATTAAGGCATGTTAAGAAAATAACTCTTTCTTCTGTATGTACAAATTATTGGTCATGGCTGGCAGTTTTCGTTAACTACTCTCCTTACTCTACTAAGAGTAAAATGGGACTTGTTTTGCATCACATAGTTTAAGTGATTTACCTTTTCCCTTTCCATATATCCTTGCATTATAATGTGCCACTGCTTTCAAGAGGTAAGTCTTTTAGTATCTTTTAAGATTTTTAATGTTGTTGGACTGAAATTTCTTCTAACAGCTCCTGTGTTGTATTTTGAAGAACCCAGGAAGACTGAAAATATAATGATGTGGTAGTAATATTTTAAAATACTTTTCTCTTTGCAGAAAACACAAGTGACAAAGTTAGTATCCGCATTACTGGAGAGGAAATATGGTGATTTATATATGAGTAAACAGCATGAATGCCTGATTTTTGCAAAATTAAGCTAAATTTTGCAAAAGAGCTATAATTTAGAATAACCACATTTAGTGTTTTCAGTAAGTTTGGTTTGCTTTGCTATGTTGTGGTGAATTGCTTTATAGTAATAAATAGCAGTGTTTAACATAAGTTATAAAACATATACGGTTTGCTATATATCAATGTAAAAGAAGCAGTGCTTGGGAGAATGTAATTTATATCAGTCAAGACTGGTAGAACACAAAGATAGAAGAGAAAGCATAAACATTTATACCACTAGTGAATAACATACGGAAAACTGAGTTGATGTCCAAATTAATGTCAAAAGCCAATGGTGAAGTCTCTTAAGAACCTGTGTGATTTTTCCAGAGAGTTTTAATTCAATGTTGCTGGCAGGTTCAGACCTCTATATGTACATTGTGTGTGTCAGTGGTAATAGAAAGTCCACACATCTTTGAAATGTGTTAAGAGAGGTAATTATCAACTTATTAAATGTCACTGTTTTTGTAGATGTTGGGAATCAATACGGTATAACTTTCATACCTCACTTTTGTGTTCCATTGGTATTGATGCAACACTGGCTAATGATTACTAGCTTTAAAAATACATAAAAATCACATTAGATAAAAACCTAAAATAATTTTTATTAATTAACTTATGGTTATTCTGAATGTGTACTAAAATTTCTTTAGCATCACCCTATAATGTAGAATTGGAAATATGAAATATCTATCTTGGGACACATCCAAGATAATTAACTTCTGAATTATCAGAGCAACTTCATTCTAATGTGGCTGTGATGTCACCAATTGAACAGTTTTACAGTATATATATATGTGTGTGTGTGTGTGTATATATATATATATGAATATTGCACACCAATGTAAACATCCCCAAACCCTATTTAATTTTTTTGTCCATTTAAATTCTTTTGCACAGAGACTTAGGCTAGTTACTAGATTCTAGTGTAAAAAATGTTTGACTTGTAAAGGGAAAAAATGGGATTGGGAACAATAAGCATTTAAGTTAGATAGAATTTTTTTTTTTAATTCAAGGTTAAGATTCATTAATCTGTTAGGTATTATCATACATTCTTTTAGGTGTTTTTAAATGCATTATGTGATTTGATTCTTTAAACTCTGATGCCAAAAGATTACATACCTTTTTCAAGTCACACATCTTAAAAGTAATAGAGCTAGGCCGGGCGCGGTGGCTCAAGCCTGTAATCCCAGCACTTTGGGAGGCCGAGGCGGGTGGATCACAAGGTCAAGAGATCGAGACCAGCCTGGTCAACATGGTGAAACCCCGTCTCTACTAAAAATACTAAAAATTAGCTGGGCATGGTGGCACGTGCCTGTAATCCCAGCTACTCAGGAGGCTGAGGCAGGAGAATTGCCTGAACCCAGGAGGCGGAGGTTGCGGTGAGCCGAGATCGCGCCATTGCACTCCAGCCTGGGTAACAAGAGCGAAACTCCGCCTCAAAAAAAAAAAAAAAAAAAAAAAGTAATAGAGCTAATATTTGATCCTAGCTCTTCTGTAGCCAAATTTTGATGTGCCTTTCCCTGTGTCATCTGCTTGTGACTTTGACTTATTTCTGTGACTTTGAACTAGTATTTATACTTAATGATTATAGAATTGAATTGAGGTTATATGAATCAATTGATGTGCATGTACTACAATTGGGTTAGATACTCCTCCCCACTTTTTTTTTGAGCAGTTGGGGAATCTGTTCCAACAGTAAACCTGTATTTGTTTAGTTTTCAAAATGCCTTCAAATATGTTAAACATAAATCCTTAGAGGAAGTCTGAAAGACAGAGAAAATGTCATTGATTTCACTGTTGAGGAAAATGAGGCTTCTGTAGGTTGCAGCTTGCCCAGGGCATGGGGGAAAGTGGGCAGCACAGCCAGAATGAAAAGCCAGATCACCTGGCTGCATGTTAGCACATTTGCCACTGCTGTATATGATGAACTATTCCATTTACGCACATTTTCTAAAATATGTAAAAATCTTTGTTTGACATATTCAGATTGTCACCTTTAGGTTAAAATCAGTCAACCCTCCAGTTGCTGCCCCTCACCACACCATTGAACATTTGACCACCCCATTAACTTCATATTAATATGAAAAACTTTTCCTAGACTTTAAAATGTTTAAATATACATCTACTCTCATCTGTTCAAGATGAGGTTATTTTGCAAAATGAATTCCCTGCTACTTAAAATAACAAGGCAGAAGAGAGAATGCTGTGTCTTGTGGCTACGGAAGAGTAAATACAAGCAAACTATTGAGACCAACTTAATCCTGCATCTCAGCCTCACTCATTGTAACTCAGCCCTCTGTTCAGTTTATGAAACCCATTTTGACATGTGGAAATATAGCAACACTGACCAGTTTTAACATTAAAACTGGCAGGCAGTTTTTCTTACTATGTTTGTAATGAATTGTAACTTACTCTGACTAAATGTCATTTAGAATTGAAGAATACTATAGTGTGTTCTTTAGGGAACTATACAGTTTAGTCTTTTCTATCCCCAGTGTAATTTGACTGTGTTGTTAACGATTCTGCACTTAATAGGCTATATGAATGAATTATGTTTTGAAGTTCTCCCTCTCTTCAGGTGTTACTAACTTAGTTCCTTTACCATGTCTTATCAGACATGCCTTCTGGGCAATAATTATGTCACCGATAATACAGAACTATGGAATTCCCACAAATCACTTACTGGAACTTGGTTGTGAATGAGGATGGTAGTAATGAGGGACGGGGGGAGTAAGAAAATTGAGTGATAGCTTATTATTCATGATCCACTGTGCTTCCTACATTTTTCATCATAATCACTACTAAGAAACAATAAATTTTTCAAATGACATATTTTTTAAAATAACATATGATTCAGGATAATTCATGTGAGAAAATATACTTGCTATTAATACATACTTCTGTTATGTGAGACTGAGAGATTTTTCTGTTTCTTCTGATTTTAAAAGTGATTCTAAAATGATCCATTTCTACATTTTATATATGATTGCTTTCCGTCCTTTGTTAAGAACATAATAAGAATTTGGATTCCTGTTTAAATGATTTTTATAAAACCTTGTACATTTAAAAATAGTGGTCACTTGATACTTGAATTGGCATTGTTACATAAAATAGTTTTCATTGTTTTGTGGGGTGGGGAACAAAACTGTTGTCTTGATTGTAACAATGTAGTAGAATTTTAACTAACATTTGTTCATTTTTTTGTCTATGTTTATATGATTATTTTGAAGCATGATGTTTGTGTAACACCTTCACTGAAAATCATTGTTTTGAATTTTATTTCATTTTCTTTTCTTTTTCTTCTTTTTTTCCCCTTCTTTGTCTGTTGTTCATCTTCCGGGGAACATCAATGTCTTCTCTACTTTATCACATCTTTTTTTGTGTGTATATCATTTTCCCTCAGTAACCCTGGCACTGTGTAAGTACTTAACCAATGGTTTACTTTGTAATTGTCTCTATAACTTTCCTTCTTTCAATTTAATAATACCAGCATATTTTGTTAGGATCTTCTCATTACAAAAATTCTCAAAAATGTTAAAGAGCATAAGAAGCATTTTTTTTTTTTATGCTAGAGAATTTTGTATGCATCAGTGGTAATCATTGGGATATATGAGTAGTATGGAGAGTGTATAATGGAGTTAGAACAGTAGTTTGGGCTTTCCTTTAATTTATTATTACTAATATTTCAATGTCTATATTTTGAAATAAATTATTTGCTCTTGAGAGTAAAGTTTACATTCTAACCCAAATGCATTTTAAAAAATAAAGTTATTGAAATTTTTCTTTTCATTCATTATAGTCATCACACTCTAGAGTTTCAGAACCAGAAAGCACTAGTAAATGTTTAGAAACTTCTTATCTTTTTACAAATGTGTGATAGCTAAAAATGCTGCTTAGGTGATGTCGTTGTATTATTCTCCCTATCTTAGCTTGATACTGTTGTTTTGTTTTTAGAGACCAAACTTTTTATAGAGGATAAAATAGTTTTACATTTGAAATTGTCATCCTTTAAGAGTAAACTACACTCAATATTTGCAGAGAAATTTAAAACTGTAGTAAGTTTAGTAGCTGGATGTAAAATTTTTCAAGTACATGCATAAGATAAAGAGTTGTCTATTTTATGTCTGCCAGAGACAGAGTGTTTATTAAGAAATCTATACTTATTTCCTAATTTTAAAACATTTTGTTCATTTTAAAAATAATCAGGTTTTGTTCAATATTAATGGAAGGTGTTTTAGATATTTTAATTATGGAATCATATGGTATTACCATATTACCATAAGTTACAGTAGTTTTTACTATTTTGTGCATAAATATTGATTTTATTATTTCATATATGCAGATTATTCATAGTGTTAGAACATGTATTGCAGTTGATTTTCTAGTAATCATAAAATAATACATTATCATGATCATTACTGCATGTTATATATGGAGGAAAGCACTTTACATACTTATTCTATCTTATTTGTTCTTAAATCACCCTTTAAGATGCAAGTCTTATTTCTCAAATGAGGAAATAAGTTGAGCATAGAGAAATGACTTGCATAAAGTACATACTAAATCTGACTTTAAGCCAGTGTTACTAACTTTAATTCTATCATGTTCCTCACTGGGGAGAAACTTTTCCAGTGTGCTGACACGGTTTTGGTTGCGTAACTATTAAATGGTAACAGTCATTTGGCCTACAGATAGCACTGTGATTTTTTAACAGGGAGGTGAAACTAGCAGGTGTTACCACTCACATCCGACCACTTTTATAACACTTTCTGTACTCAGATCTTGTGCCAGTAGTCTGCTAATCCAGACTCATGCTTCTTTTTCTCTTTGGAAATTAAACTCATAGCCTCCAAAAATTTGCATTTGCCCTATTTTGAGGGGGAAGAAGTGGAGACTAGTCATTATGTTCAATATATTATACAGAAATATGTATTGCAAATTCCTTTGTATTTATGTCCTGTTAAAAGAAAATATGTTCGTAGCAAACTCAAAGTTCATAAACTCTGTAGTTTACACATCTTTTTCACATATTTAATCCTCAGAAAAGCACTATCTTGTATGTGATATTCAAGAGACTGACTTTCTAAAGAGTCTTAGAGTCAAGCTTTAAATTCTGATCTTTTAATATATATTTCAGTAGTTGCTAATATGCCATACCTCCTTTTCATTATGTTGATCCCACACAAAGCTTTCTTTAGAATAAGGAATACCTGTACATATGAATGAGAAAACTATAGAAAATAATAGTTTGGACCCGTTCCAAAATTGTGTTTGGAATTGCTCATTTAGCCTCTGCTAAACCATAGGTGTTTCCTGGACCTAGTGAAGATTCGATCATTTAATTTCATGAAAGCCAGTATATTCTAGCAGTATACTGATATTAACAGTGGTTGTGAATATAGTCCACATCTGTGTTTTTTATGGCATACAATGAATGATACAAATAATTTCAAGTTTGATTTTGACTCTGTGGACTTTCATTTTCTAGTTGTCTTCTTTTTTTTTTCTTATCATTTTCCTTTCCTTTTTCTTCATGTTGGAAATCTTTTCTTCTGCTGCCTTCCTCTGCCAATTTAAAGGAAAATTCCACCTAAACGGTAATCTTTCTGTTGAATACATTTTTATAGCATTATTTTATATTAACATTGTAAGTGCAGTGTTTAACTTATAATTTTTAAAACCTAGTCTATTTTAGACAGATCTTTTAAACAATTGAGGCCAAAATATACTTGCAGAGCAAACTGTTTATATAAAAGGAACATTGAAGATTAAACAGAAATTATAAATAATTCAGTAGAAGATATTTTATCCTTTTAATATAATTTTACGATTTTTAATTCTTTTTGTTTTCTTCTTAACCCTAGCCCACCAAGAAAACACATTGTGGAGCGCAATACAGAGTTTTATCATATACCCACTCACAGTGATGCCAGCAAGAAGAGACTGATTGAGGATACTGAAGACTGGCGTCCAAGGACTGGAACAACTCAGTCTCGCTCTTTCCGAATCCTTGCCCAGATCACTGGGACTGAACATTGTGAGTGAACTTCTCTGTATCCTAATGGATGAATGTGTTTTTTGTTTTGTTTTGTTTTGTTTTTGCCACAGAGAGTAATACTTAGACTGATTGGTAGTTGTCAGAAAACAACCCTAAGACCGTTTGCTTTTACGATGTGCTGTACATAGTATGGGTAATATAAAAAAGACCCCAAGCCAGGAGCGGTGACTCACTCCCCTAATCCCAGCACTTTGGGAGGCCGACGTGGGTGGATCACCTGAGGTCATGAGTTCGACACATGGTGAAACCCTGTCTCTACTAAAAATGCAAAAATTAGCCAGCCATGGTGGTGGGCACCTATAATCCCAGCTACTCAGGAGGTTGAAGCAGAAGAATTACTTGAACCTGGGAGGCAGAGGTTGCAGTGAGCTGAGATCATGCAACTGCACTTCAGCCTGGGCAACAAACAGAGGGACTCTGTCTCAAAAATAAATAAATAAATAAGTAAACAAGGCACCAGCCCAGGAGAGTAACATTGAAAAGTATAGAAATAATAGTATTTGTACTAACTATGGTTTATAGCCAATAACAGGCTATTATGGAATTCGCTTTAGTGGCTCCATGAAACTTGAACATTTGATATTGATTGGTGCAGGCAATTACGTAAGTGATTTTGAAGTTAAACAAAACAAACTAATGTTGGATATTGCTTGTTATATTTCAGTGAAAGAATCTGAAACCGATAATACAAAGAAGGCAAAGTAAGTTCTCCATCTTTTTGTCAATTGAATGTTTTCCTTTCATGAATGATCTCAATTTGGTTTCTCACATTGTCAAGTGTAATGGTATGGCATTTTGTCTTTGCAACTAGAAGCTAAGCATTTAACTTTGGTGCCTTTTGTGTGACCTAAACGTACAACTTGCGGATTTTAAAGTAGTAGATGTTATCTGGATTTTAAGGCTTGTTTTCCTTAGTATTGAAATAAGAAGTGGGCAGAATGGTGTATTTCGTAGTGCTTTGCTAACAATACATGTCTGTGAATGAGCTCATGTGTTGTCTTGCAGTCACTTTATTTATTACACTTTAAGAGTGTAAAAATGTATATTTCCAGGAGGGATCTATGGATTAATTTCTCTATTTCTAAAAACGCTCTACCCTTAAAATCTTTGCCACTTAATAAAACAGCTCCGTGAAATTAAGCTTATATAAGGCATGTTTTCTGCATGATGGAATTAGCCTAGAACCTTTTTCCTTCTCTTATGACCCTTCTATCACTCTCTTTCTTATTTCCACAGGGAAAAGATACCCCTTCACGTCTTTAGTCCCAAATACACAAAATTACGTGACTGGCACCATGAAGTTTCAGCACGTGCTCTTAACGTACAGTGATTTATGAGCCTTGCCCCCCAAGTAGCCAGCACATACCTTTTCATTTACATTTTTTTCAACTTCATAGCAAAATCTGTATTAAATTTGCCTTGTGAAAAAATAGAACTTTTTCTATACTTTTCTAACAATTTCCTATTGTTGTGAGAAAAGGAAGATGAACATGTTTTGTGCTAGTTGGTAGCTCACAAGTGTAAAACCAAAAAAAAAAAAAGAAAATTAAGGGACTAGATCTATTCAGTGGATTTATATCTGTTTTTCTTGTTATTAGGGTGGTAACCTTGGAAAATGAATTATTTTCATAAGTTGAATTTGGTTAGTTGATTGATTGAAGCAGAGGATAATGGGCAAATAATGTCCTTGTCTAATTTGGAAAATATCTCCTTTATGTTATTATTAACCTTTCCCAAGTTTACTTTGTAAGTTCATCATTATGTAATGTTGAAAGTCGATTATAAATTATTCTAAGTAAGTAAATATAAGGAGGCAAGAATAAACAGAGAAGACCTTATTAAAGAAGAGTGCATTGTAGATTTAGGTATCTTTTAAAGTAGGTACTATTAAGGATGGCTGTATGAAGAGGAGGAAGTCCAGATTTGACTCCTAAAAAAGGAAAGAAGAGAATTTTATCCCTATTTGCAATGGAGAAACACAGTGTTCTTTGGTTTGGTTGGATTTGCAAATCCTATTTCCTATCAAAGGAAATATCTCTAAGCTAGTGGATGTTTTTAGAGTATAGACAATTTCTACGTATTAACTAATAAGATATAGAAAAGATAGCTTTGCTTTTTTATCAGAAGAACATAAAATAAATTGCAATATGAATCATTATGAGACATCAGAGAAATACTTTACTTAGTGATATAAATTACTGTGCATTGCTGCTATTCCTAGGAAGCTGTGTTTTGGGCAATACATGGAAGCTAAATAATATGACCAGAAATGCTTTCTGCCTTGTAATATAGTGTATTATATGTTAGAGCTAAATTTAGTAATAAATGCATTTTGAAGTTTTGAAAAGTATTGTAATAAAGTTGCCTTTAACTTGGCTTTGTACTTGTTCTGTTTCCTTGAGGCTAGACACAGTGCCATCCAGGACTTGTTACAATATAACTGGGTAAAATAAATAATTCTCTGACATTTCATTTGGAAAACATTTTTAATTTTGTGAAGTTACTAAAATATGAGTATAAAACATGGCAAATGATCACGTTTGATTATTTCCCCCCGAATTATTACAATATTTAGTATCCTATGTGAGTAACATATAAGATCAGTTGACTATTACACAACATAGAATTATTATTTATGTGAAAATACTGCTGAAGGACCTTGCCTGCGTTCAAGGGTCTATTTTTATTTTTCGAGGTATTCTTTCACTTTAGTGACATAATAGTCTAGTACAACTTCCTGATAATTTGGAGAAACTAGCATTAATCTTAGATAGTAATTGCTAAAATTTGGCCTATCAAATGCATTTTAAAATAATTCTAGGATTTATCTATGCTCATTTCTAGCATACTTCATGACATATAAGACATCTTTCATTGTATCAGTTCTTCTTCAGATATTAAGCCAGAGGTCCTGCCTGCTTGGATTTTATGATTCTGACATCAGTTCCAGTTATAACTATGTCTCTGGCCTCTGTAAGAAAATCTACTTTCTTAGACCAGGCCTTCCTATACCCAGTAATTCTTTCTGGATCCCAAAAGATGATGTCTGAAAGATGATAGAATTTAAAGCCTCATAAAATTAAATGGTGTGGTAGAGTAAACATGGTATTTTCCACCAAGAATCCAATTTCTAGAATAACCGCAGAGTTGATAGAAAGAATGACGCAAAAGAATTTTAGGGAAATAGAAAAAATTTTCCCTAATACAGACAAGGCAACATGTATAGAGTTACAACTTAAAACAGGTGTAGTTAAAATAAAAATTTAATACCTTGCTTAATTAAAAATGAAGTATTTAGTGTTTCATTGAAAGCATAGACTTAGAATGATCTGCACTTGAGTATGAGGATAAATATTCAGCCAGGATCATACAGGACATTCCATTTGACCCTGTCAGAAGATGAATTCCTGAGATCAATGAATCTCCTGGGACATCTTATATTCTTAGCTTAAAAGCTAGCCAAAAATTATAAAAGCTTCTTGCAAAAATATTATTGTAAATCTGGTGACCTAATTTATGACTTGCTTTTGTTTGTCTCTCCTATACAGACTTTCTTCATTATAAGCTTGTTGTTTATGTATGTATGTATATATATATATATATATATATATATATATATATGTATTTATATATTTACACTTTATGTTCTGGGGTACATGTGCAGAACATGCAGGATTGTTGCATAGGTACCTACCTGGCAATGTGGTTTGCTGCCTCCATCCCCCTGTCACCTACATCTGCATTTCTTCCCGTGTTATCCCTCCCCAACCTCCCTACCCTATTCCCCCACAACAGACCCCAGTTTGTGAAGCTCCCCTCCCTGTGTCCATGTGTTCTCATTGTTCAGCACCCGCTGTAGGCTTGTTTTTAAGGTGAAATTGGGAGGTTGCTCTCAAGAATGTTTTCAACATTTCTTTCTTTCTTTCTTTCTTTCTTTCTTTCTTTCTTTCTTTCTTTCTTGTTTTTTTTTTGTTTGTTTTTTTTTTGAGACAGAACATTGCTCTGTCACCCAGGCTAGGGTGCAATGGCGCAATAGCGCCTAACTGCAACCTTCATCTCCCAGGTTCAAGCACTTCTTCTGCCTCAGCCTCCTGAGTAGCTGGGATTACAGGCATGCACCACCATGCCCAGCTAATTTTCATATTTTTTAATGAAAAATACAGGGTTTCACAATGTTGGCCAGGCTGGTCTCGAACTCCTGACCTCCAGTTATCTGTCTGCCTTGGCCTTCCAAAGTGCTGGGATTACAGGCATGAGCCACTGTACCTGGCTTCAGCATTCTTTTCTTACAGTGTTTTATCATTCAGAAGACAGTGTCTCACTATGGTCCAGTGTATTTTTGTTACCTCAGAACTTACTTTTTTTTCGTGGAAACAGAAGCATTCTTTGATGCATTTCTATGCTCTTTAGGAAGGCTCAGATATATAGACATCTTAGAGCTTGTTTAATAAAAATTGTGGTAGTAGGTCACAGAGTAGCAGTTCCTTCTTTTTTTCAAAATTTTTCAAAACTATAGAATGAATTGCTTTTCCCTCCAGATACATAATTTTGTTATTATTGTGTTTCTGACGTGTATTTAAAATCATATAAATTGTAAATATTTACTCATTGCCGGCATTCATTCTTTCAAATGAATAATTACTGAATATGTAAATGCCAGGCACTAATCAATGTGTTAGGGATACAGTAGTGAATAACAGATAAATGTATAAGCAAGATGATCTGAGCTAATTGTGTTACCAAGATAGTAAGTTAATATAAAATAAATTTGGCTTAGTCAAGGAAGGATTACTTTAGATTATGTGGACCTCTGAGGAGAACGACCTTAGTGCCAGCAGCTGGGAGAGGAAAAGGAGTCAGCCATGTGATAATTTGAGGGTGGGGAGACATGTGGAAAGGAGCATGGCAAGAACACAGAACAGAAAGGTCAGTGTGGCGGAGTCCCGGCTAGGCAGGGAAGTGTGGTAGAGAAACAGAATTCCTGTGTACGTGGACAAAACACTTGCATGCTCATTACTATCCATAGCATTTTAAATAGGCAACGATTATATCATATCTAATTGCTTCCAAATAGAATTAGAAAGTGAAGAAGCGGGGAGGTTAGTCAGGCTGCTAAATGAAGTGTGCTCACCTAGTTGGTACCAGTCCTGATTATTAACAATTTAATATTTTTCCTGTTGAGACCCAATGAAGACCTAGAAAAGAGAAGCATAAATTTATGTTAGTAATATGTATGTAGGGAACACAAACAGAATATCCTGTAGAGCATACATAAAGCCATTCAGAAAATATGAAAACACTTTGATGTATAAAACTTGACATATGCCCCTTCCGCACTCTCCGGTGGAAGCCTGTCTTCCCCTCCTAAACTCCATCTCTCTCTATTCCCTTCCACTCAGTGTAGAAGCTGCTTTCCTTTCCTGGATTCCATCTTTCTGGATTCTCTCACTCAGTGTGAGAGTTAGCTATTTTATTCCCTCTCTTCCGGTTTCTCTCTCTGTCTCTAAATAAATCACTTTCTACAAAAAACAAAACAAAACAAAACAAGACACACACAAAAAAAACTTGACATATGATGCTCTTCATAATAGTGATGAATCAATGATTTAGGCTTCTCTGTAAAATCTTAGCTAGAATTATCTGGACTTTCCTTTTGTTTACCCCATTCCAGAAAATTCCTTAAACCAAATAAATATTTCCT